TAATTGTAACTAAGATTCTGATCATCACTCATTAATTGAACTTGTACAGTTAGTCTCAGACTATAAAGAAATAGATCACAGTTTTATTTGATATAATTAATACATAGAAAGCAAGTATGTAACTAGTTGTCATACATGAAAAGCAGACAGATAATGATTTATTGTTGGTCACAAAAGGCAAACAAATAAAATACTGAAGGATATTTATACACAAGAATATTTTCTGAGTTCATATATTCAACCAACAAGATCATCATGTAAGGTATTTTGTAGAGATTTATTTCACTTGTCTAAAGTCAAAAGACGGCAAGAATAATATAGTAATTAGATAAAAGTGTATTAGGTAAGAATATTATTCATCGATTAATCTAACTTCTCTGCTATGACCGTTAAATTCTATTTGTGTGGCAGGAAATTCTTGATGAACAATCTGCAATAGGGATGTTACCATTAGGGCTGGTCGGAGGTAGCAAACATTGGGAGGTTGTTTCGATTTTTTGTAATAGGAGTAAAATTTTTTTCTAACACAACGCAAGAAAAAATTGTTGGCGCAGCTGGAGAAAAACGAAAATTTTCAATGATTGAGGGGTTGTTACGTAAGTAAAGTTAGCACCGGATTCGAGTATTTCAACCCCCGATTCGCTCCTGGTCTTGTGTTAACTTTCTAAACGGTTGTGTTAGATGCAGAATTTTATTCTCTATCGATTGGTAGTAATTTCGACGATAGCCATCAGCCAAAAGCATGGGGTTCCTCCCAAAAATATTGATTTTTCTCCATAGTACCGATAACAACAAAACAATATTTCTACCCCGGATTCGCTTCTCCACTTGTGTTAACTTTCAAGTCGGTTGTGTTAGATGCAGAATTTTATGCTTTTGTGAGTGATATCATTTTGAAGGGTTGCATTGAGCAGGTAGTGTAGATTGAGAGGAAAATACTACGTTGGCAACCGTGGATGAGTAGCAATAGCGGTTGAAAGATTTTGGCATAGTAGTTGGGACTTACTGAGGTAAGCTGTAGGGGAGATATTTTTGTGATTGGTGTATCGGTCTCTATTGGAATATGTAGCAGACTCTTTTGGAGTTTTTTTTCGTAAGTTTTCATCCGTGTAGACAAAGATTTTTTTAACGGTGGCCGTCTGGTAGTCATTAGTTCAGTAATTTTCATTCTGGGTATTCAAAGGAGTGTCTCGTATTTCTCGATTAAATATCCTTATGATGGAAGATGCGTTTTTGGTAGGAAGATTTTTCGGTTTGTAGAATACTATCGTTTAGTTATATCTTAATGATTCTTAGAAAGTGGAAGGCACATACATAGTATTGTATAAAATTGATTTTTCTTGTCACTGTTTTAATGCTAGTTTCCGCATAGCATGGTTGGATGTGATTCTTGTGTGTCTTATGAGGTCATTAATATATCTCAGATAGCAGAATAGTTTTGTTTTATTAAGGTTTTAGAACAAGATGAGGATGAAAAGTGATTCTAATAGCCATGCAAGTATACATCATTTATTGAAAGCAAATTCAAAAGTTTCAGCGAAATAAGCAACAAAAAACAGGTTGTAAACAAAATATTAGTGAACAAGCATGACAGAAAACAGTGTTCGTATTAAGCAGTAATTTTGATACTTAGCAAAGTTCGTAAATTATCAAGTTGGAGGAAGAGAAAAAATACGTTGAATTCCAAGGAGTTTTCATGCAAAAAGGCATGCATTGTAGTGGCAATTAGTAGCATGAAATGTTAACAATGATAAGAAGAATAGTTGACATGTATATGGAACAATAATCAAGGTATACGAACACAAATTCGAGTAGCATTATGTCTTCGGTTAAAATAACTCTTACACTTGCAAAGTATAAGCAGCAACAATTTCTCTTAGCAGTCCATCATATGAAAAATATCCTTGCGGATGTATATCGTTAAAATGGGCATAGGCGCCTTCATTGGTTTTGGTGATTGCGGTGAAGTGACTTTGTGTGTTATTGAAGCCGCCTGACAGTTTGTATCTGAATATAAAGAAATTCAGAGAAACTCATGAATATAGACTAGATAAATTTACTCATGTTGATCAATATATAATGGGTCTGGCAATTCTACCATCAGTGGTTCGTCTAGTTCAACGTCAATAACCACAAAAGTTGACACATACTTGAAATGCTGCTTAAATATTGTAAGTAGTGCTTGACATATATACCGCTTTCTAAACACACGTATTCCGGATAAGAATATTAAAAAAAGAATTCTTACTTAATGAAAGTAGTTTTCGTTTCAACATCAATAACTGGATAATGGTCGTCTATAATGTAATCGTTAGGATAATTTCGAGACTCATCCAGGCCAAGAATGGCACACAAAAAACCATAGAATCGTGTGAAAAGGCTTCAATATAGTTTGGAAATTCGTTGTTGACTTTTCTAAATAGATTTCAAGAGTCTTGATAGAAGCAATTTCATTTATTGGAACAGAAAAATTAATCGAAAGCTGTGATACGAAAAGATCTCCTTAATCGTTCAACAGATCGCATACATGGAAAATATCTAGTACTATAATAAACATTGGAAGCGTCTTAAGTATTTTTCAAGAACTGCTAGTTTCCATGAAACCTTTAACAAGTCGAACAATTAGGTTATTAACATGGCTTCTTTTATGTTGTTATGAGTTTAGCAGATAGACACAGTCATTGATGTCCTTCTGTCGTCATTAGTAAGCTGTGGGTTCACGTTTTTGTGGACCTGGATCTGAAACCGGACTCGCATTCGACCTAACCCAAAAATAATTAAAAGCTCGATGCAGATCCGGTAGGGTGCAGATCCGTACTCAACTTGCTCCAAACCCGAGGTTTTTTCATCAGTACCTGGTACTCTCCACCTACATGAACAAGTGAAGGATTAACTATTTAGCTATTTATTCGTTACTGTAAGAAAAAAATTCAATGTAGAGTTATATCTTATCGCTGTATTTCTCAATTGAAGAGCAGTAAGTCCACAAAAACGTGTAACCGGGTTTAACAAAAATAAAACTTTGGCTTCGAGCCCGAGCCGGCCGACTCCGATTCTGGAACGATCCGCAGCTTCCTAGTCGTCATAGTATACTTTCATTTTATTTATCATCTGTGTTAAGAAAACTATAGTTTCATGAACTCACATATTTTTGTGAGAAGATACTTGGCATGTGATGACAAGCTTTATTCTATGGATACCCCCTATTGTGGACTTGTATTTATTCAAAAACTTACCGTAATGTTATATCGACACTTGAATGTTTAAGTATACGGCCTGGACAAGCAATACATGTATACATTCATACTTGATATGAAATTCTTGTATGAACTTCACGTAATCAAAAACAATTTTAGTTAATGTATTTTGTAAGTCGCATTGTCCATCATAATTCTTCACATTGAACAGTTCATGTCGCAGGAGCCAATGTAGCCGAGCCATGGTCCAGTCATAGCTTTCAACATATTCAAACGTTTGACGAAGAGCAGTAAAAGTATCGATGGTGTCGTTTTCGAAGAGATTACGAAACGTATGGTTGCCAGCTTTGTAAGCATGGTACAACACAAATAGATCTGTGTCAACATGACATGTTCTAGTGATGGAGAATGATTGATCTGCATAAGTGCCATTGTTAATACCATATCTTGACCAGGTTAAATGAAGACTACCAAGTGTTGTAGTGAATGGTCGTTTGTTTAATGTACACTGATGGATATCAGTTGCATTTGGCAGCGTCGTTTTCTTTTTTTTGTCACATTGGCTGAAACAGTATCGTTGAACGATGAAAGAAGTCTTTTTGACAAAAGTGTTCGAGATAATAAATTTGGACTAATTATTGGAGAAACATAATCATTAGCATATTGGGGATTGGGAGTACGATAATGAGAACTTCTTCGTATATTTTGTTCTGTGTCAATTGTTTCTGTTTGACTAGGTTAAACATAAGGTACTAAAGTTGGTAAAGGTTTTTGCATAGTTTTCGGTGACTTTGATGACCCATCAAAATTGCTACATGACAATGACGAAGAATTTCATTCGGGAGCAAAAACATCATCACTGTTTAGATCAGCTCGATTATGAGGCTTGATGGAAAATCCCAATAATTGATTAAAAGCTAAATGAGTTAATGAACTATTTGAGCTTGTATCACTAAATATTAATAATTATTCAAATAACTTTCTCCACTTAAACAGGTAAGATATTAATAAAATAGTCAAGTTTTCACTGCTTCGATGATCATTTTTATGTAAAAGTCAGCGATGATCAATCTCTTGAAATAATATCGAATGATAATATTGAAGCAAATCAGCATGTGAAGTCTTATTTTTCGAAACCGTCAGCAGCTGTCATGATCGAACAAACTATGAAAAATCATATAGGATTTGACTTTTTAACAGATGAAGAAATTGCTTTGGTCTTATCACCGCTGATGGCGTCTATTGATAAATCATACGTTTCTTTAAGCAAAGAAGAATTAATGAACGACTTTTCTTGCCTGATTATATCTCAAACAGTGCATGCACTTCGCTCATTTACAATTCATCACGAAGATATGTACACACATCCAACATTCTTGATCGTCTCGATATTAATTGTACGATCGCCGCCAGTTAATGCTTTTACACATATTGTTTATCATTGACATCCATTACCCGTTGTTGTTAATCGAAACAAATATATTTATGCTAATATGCCAACAATGATTGATCTAAACTGAATCGACCAAACTTTAACAATATGGAATGACGAGCAAAAAGAATCAAAATGCATTTTTTCAAAAGTTGTGCAATGTCAAGAAGAACCCACATTTGTGTCTCTCTCGAGTTTGCCTTGTATGGAACACTTTTTTTTCTACTGGTTCGTCTATGTTAAATGCTTGCGAAATAAATCATTCAATCAATTCTCAAGCCGTTATCGTCAATATAGTACAAGATATCTGGGTATTCTATAATTTCAATGAAGTTCAGCATTGCAAGGTTTATTCGCATTTGAACGATTCAATGGATATCACAACAATTAGTGAACCATCCATTTTACAATTACCATGTGAAGCATCTGTTATTTGTTCAAATACTCAATTAAAATCATCGACATCTACAAAAGACAAACTAGCAATCACGTCCAAACTTGTTGGGACTTGTAGAAAAGTACCCAATTTTCAATATTCAATAAAAACATTAACAAGTCGCTTAGAATCAGAGTACAAAGAAAGAGCTATAGGTTCTCCGAAACAACTACAAATAAATCTTTACAATAGCAGTCCACGAACAATGAAGATATTTAAAATGTTGGGCAACTTATTTATGTATGTTTTGCTGCTCGTTGTATTATGATTACGATCATCATTTTGAAGTATATCAGAATTAAAACTGAAAAGAAAATGAACAAGTTTAAAAAAGAATAAAACAAAGTTGCAGATGTTTTTTCTTTAGATAGTGACACTATATGATATGGTGATAGAAAGCATTACATTTGGTTTTTATTGTAAAATTAATGTTTTTGTGTGCTTTTTTCTGTAAAGTTTCATTATTAATAGAAGCATAGATCATCAACTGTAAACTAGTGCATCTCTAGATTAAACATATGCAAGTTATATGATGGATAATGATCCACCAGTTATATATCTTTCTTTTCATTTTTCCTTCTTGTGCACTGAAAAAAAAAATGGTACGATACCGAACCAAAAAGGTATTTTGACCGAAAAAAAGGTTTCGTACATGGTACGGAACCTAAAAAGGTTTCGAATTCGTTGCAATTCTCTGAACCATTTTAGGTTCGGTACAGACCACTACGAAAAACTTGAAAAAGTGTCCTGAGTCAATGACAATCAATTTTAGTCACCCAAAGTTTTGTACGAAACCTTTTGAGGGTTTCGTATTGTCTTCCTAAATGGTTCGGTACGCTGCAAAAAAAATTGTATGATTACGGAACCATTTAGG